CTGATACCAAACCAATATCTTATGAATGCTCATAACATCCTTGCTTTTGTATTCACTGTCCCTCTTTATAAAATTCAGCATCTCATATACTGTTTCTGGCCACTTTCTCTACTTGCCCTGCAACCATCACTGGCTTTGATGAAGGCAGACCGATGGACATGGTCTCTATGGATTTCAGTGAGGCGTTCGACAAGGTTCCACATGGTAGACTGGTTAACAAGGTTAGATCACATGGAATACAGGGAGAGCTAGCCATTTGGATACAAAATTGGCTTAAGGGTAAGAGACAGAGGATGGTGATGGAGGGTTGCTTTTCAGACTGGAGGCCTGTGACCTGCAGTGTGCCACAAGGTTCGGTGCTGGATCCACTTCTTTTTGTCATTTATATAAATTATTTGGATATGAACACAGGAGGTATGTTTAATAAGTTTGCAGATGACACCAAAATTGGTGGTGTGGTCGATAGTGAAGAAGGTTACCTCAGAGTACAACAGGATCTTCATGCGTGGCACTGTGGCTCAGTGGTTAGCACTGCTGCCTCACAGTGCCAGGTACCCGGGTTTAATTCTACCCATGGGTGATTGTGTGGAGTTTGCACGTGTTTCCTGTGTCTGCGTGGGTTTGCTCTGGATTCCTCCCACAGTGCAAAGATATGCAGGTTGGGGTGGATAAACCATGCTAAATTGCCCATAGTGTGCAGGAATGTGTAGGTTAGGGTGGGTTATAGGGGGATCCGACTGGGTGGGATTTTCTGAGGGTCAGTGTGGACTTGTTGGGCCGAAGGGTCTGTCCCCACACAGTAGGGATTCTGTGATTCATCACATGGGCATGTGGGCTGAGGGGTGGCAGATGGAGTTTAATTTCAATAAATGTGAGGTGCTGCATTTTGGTAGGGCAAGACTTATACAATTAATGCTGAGGTCCTGGGGTATGTTGCCAAATGAAAGAGACCTCGGAATGCAGGTTCATAGTTCCTTGAAAGTGGAGTTACAGGTCGATGAGGCGGTGAAGAAGGCGCTTGGTATACTCGTCTTTATTGGTCAGTGCATTGGCTATAGGAGTTGGGAGGTCATGCTACGGCTGTGCAGGACATTGGTTTGGCCACTTTTGGAATACTGTGTTCAATTCTGGTCTCATGCTATAGGAAGGATGTTGTGAAACTTGAAAGGGTGCATAAAGGATTTACAGGATGTTGCCGGAGTTGGAGGGTTTGAGCTAAAGGGAGAGGCTGAACAGGCTGGGGCTATTTTCCCTAGAGCATCGGAGGCAGAGGGATGACTTTATAGAATTTTATAAAATCATGAGGGGCATGGATAGGGTGGATATCCAAGGTCTTTTTCCTAGGGTGGGTGAGTCCAAAACTAGAAGGCATAGGTTTAAGGTGAGAGAGGAAAGATATAAAAGGGACCATAGGGGCAACTTTTTCACACAGAGGGGTGTATGGAATGAGATGCTGGAGGAAGTGATGGAAGCTGGCACAATTACAAGATTTAAAAGGCATCTGGATGGGTACATAAATAGAAAGGGTTTAGAGGGATATGGGACAAATGCTGGCGAATAGGACTGACTCAGACCATGAAGGGTCACCGGACCCAAAATGCAAACTCTGATTTTTTCTTCACAGATGCTGCCAGATCTGCTGAGCTCTTCCAGCAACTTCTGTTTTTGTTCCTGATTTGCGGCAACTGCAGTCCTTTCTGTTCTTATATCCTGCCACAGTTCTCTGCATTAAATTTCATCTGCATTGTCACATACTGCCTGGCAATTGCTTTTAGAAAAATACTTTGAAAGATTTTATGCATGAAAGGCACTATATAAATGAAAGCTGTTACTCAGCGGTGATAACAAACTGAGGCAGGTTTATTCTCTCAGGTCAATGTTAAAGGTCTCATGCTTCCCTCTGGTAGCTCTGGGCTAATATCTATCCCTCTATCAAAATCAAAACAAGCAAATGATCTGGTCATTATCGCATTGGGAGCTTGCTGTGCACAAATTCGCTGTTGCATTTCCAACATCACAGAGAAAAAAGACATTTGAGACAGCATAAAAGGTAAAGTAATTCAACTCTTCCTTTCTTTATCAATTGACTCTCAAACAGCCAAGTGGTAAGTAATGAGGATTTATAGGAATTACTGTCCATTAGAGAGACAGAGAGAGCGAGAGTGAGACATATAAAGCTTGAGGGACACTATTCCACAGGAATGGGGATGCAGGGCTCCATAAGTTTACATTACAAATGGCCACAGTGATCTGTCTGTAGAGAGGTAGTTGTAGCCATGATTTCACACCATTAGAAGATTTCCAGTAGGGGAATCAAGGGTTACGGGGAAGACTCAGGAAAGTGGATGTGAGGAATGTTGGATTGACCGGGATCCTGTTGAATGGTGGGACAGGCTTGACGGGCTGAATGGCCTGCTCCTGTTCCTATTTAGAGAGAGACCTTGTGGTCTCATCTGTAATTTTTATGTCAGTTTTAGCTCCTATAAAAACTAGACATGGGTCTAAAAGATTTAAAAGGTGTTCGTTACAGCTCCTGGTATATATTACAATCACAAACAGTTCAGTCTCTGGACTGATACTTAGCTACTTGGCTAGAATAGCATCCTTCCATTAACACATCATGTTTCAAGATGTCCGAGTTAAGATGGAGACTGAGACTTTTGTATCTTGATATCCTGTGGTATGATATGGTGATTATATCATGTGTGTGTCTATTAAGGGCATATGGAATAACAGCTGTGAGATGTACAACAACAGCATTAAACTTCATCTGCCACTTATGAACACATTCTGCTAACCAGCCTTTGTTATTTTGAAGCCCTATCCTCTTCACAGTTCACATTACTTCCCAGCTTTGTGCATTCTTAACATTTTAAAATGTGTTTTGTGGAGCTAGGTCTACATCCCAACACTGAACCCTGGGCACATCTGTGATAAACCATCATTCAGTCAAAAAATCAACCATTCCCCACTCTGAGATTACAAGTGTAGAGCTGGATGAACACAGCAGGCCAAGCAGCATCAGAGGAGCAGGAAAGCTGACGTTTCGGGTCTGGACACTTCTTCAGAAATGAAGACCTTCTGAAGAAGGGTCTAGGTCCGAAACGTCAGCCTTCCTGCTCGCCCGATGCTACTTGGCCAGCTGTGTTCATCCAGCTCTACACCTTATTATCTCAGATTCTCCAGCAAGTGCAGTTCCTACTATCTCTGAAACATTCCCCACTCTGCTTTGTTTCTGGATTCTGGTCACTTATGCTGATATCACATTTTGTGATTCAGTGATTTTTTTATTTTGTTTTTGTTTTAATGTCTTTGCCAAGTGGTTTGAAACTATTTCCATTTCTGGTCCTGTATAAAATCAGGGTTTGGAATACATTACCCGAGTTGTTCTAACAGACAGTCGCTATCGAATCGAGAGCCTTAGTGAATTCCTGCTGTGCTGCTATGGCGGTGCAATAAACTGTTGTATTTGTTGACACCACCACATTGGCCGTGAATTGATTTGAAATACCATTAGGCTTTATCCAAACGCATTTTTTTTGCTCCTTTCCCTTATTTTGTAATTGACCGCATCGGAGGCTGCCATTTCAACTATAAGCTGCCTTAAAGCAGGGATTAGCTCAGTTCCTTTTCAGGGATTACTGGCCCTATTTATAGTCACTAATCTTTAGTTTCCTCTAACACCGCTTGAATCGTTTCCATTAACCCTTTCCCACTCCAGGAGCAAACCCTCTTCCAAACCCCAAATTACAATTATTCAAACCATTGCTGCCTTGACCCCACCCCCACAACACATCCAGCCAATGACAAGCGGTATCTGTAAACATGTCCCGCCCATTCGCTCCGTTGTTTAGGCTTCTATTGGTTGGAAACGCTGCCAACCATTCCCAACCGTGTCTTCTATTGGCCAAAGACATGTCCCGATCCAAACACTTAATCCCATTGGGTGTTGTTCGGGTCTTGGGCGGAGTCACCGCCCCCGGCTTCCTGGGAGCTGATTGGTTGTTCCCCGAAGTCTGCAGAACTCTGAACTGTATTGGCTCTTTGGGGTGCCCATCCAGAGAATCTCTATTCCAATTGGGTGCCTTGCCCGTCCATTGAGGATGCCCCCCCCAGGTTGGCGGCTCCTTTTAGGGATTGGTTCTGGCTTGTGCCCATCACTTTGGAGCTGGGAAGGCAGACGGGCGAGTGAGGTCTGGTCAGTCCTCCATCAGCGACAGAGACGGAATTTTCCCCCTTTCCCCATCCACCACTCCCTTCTCCCTCCCCAAAGCAACAAAAAAAAACCCACCCCCTCCAATTCCAAAAAACCCTTCCTTCCGAACTCCAACCCCCACCTGGCTACTGCGGGAGGCAACCGTCCATCCGTTTGGCTATCCAAATGCAGTGAGACTTGTTGTTGATTTCCTCTCGCCTGGCCCCTGTCCATTCTCTCTCCCGGCTTTTGCCCGCCACCCCTTCTACACCTCCGCCGCCCCGTTAGCCAGACAATGGGCACGGTCCTGTCTCTGTCCCCGGAGCCCAAGGGCAAAGGTGGCACGGTGGAGGACGGCCACCCTGGAGCGGGCAAGAGCGCTAAAGAGAGGAGCCTGAAGAAGCACTCAGTTCTCATCTCCGCCCTGACCTGGAAACGCCTGGTAGCCGCCTCGGCCAAGAAGAAGAAAGCCAAGAAGGTGAACCCGAGCCAGCCTCCTCATGCCAATGACCACGCCAGCGGCGCCATCGGTAGCAGCAACAACAACAATCCAGTCAAGCAACTCAACGAGAAGAACCTGAAGAAATCCTACCCCCCGCTGCAACCCGCTGCTCAGCACCGGGCCATTCCAGTGCCAGTGCCAGTTGTACCCCCCAGCAGTGCCAGGCAGCTGGGATCGGTGCAGAAACAAGCCAGCGGCCGCAGTCTGGCCTCTCCACGCCGTGTGGTGGTGCAAGCGTCCACCGGGGAGCTGCTGCGTTGCCTGGGCGAGTTCCTGTGCCGGCGCTGCTACCGCCTGAAGCAGCTGAGCTCCGGTGAGGCGGTGCTCTGGTTCCGGGGGGTGGACCGGGCTCTGTTGCTTCAAGGTTGGCAAGACCAAGGCTTCATCAGCCCGGCTAATGTGGTCTTCGTCTACCTGCTGTGCCGGGAGGTGGTGAGCGAAGAGATCGCCAGTGACTTCGAACTGCAGGCCACCTTCCTCACCTGCCTGTACCTCGCCTACTCCTACATGGGCAACGAGATTTCCTACCCCCTCAAGCCCTTCCTGGTGGAAGCCAACAAGGAGGTTTTCTGGGACAGATGCCTCTCCATTATCGGCCAGATGAGTGCCAAGATGCTTCAGATTAATTCAGACCCGCATTACTTCACTGAGGTCTTCCAAGACCTCAAGAACGAAGCCAGCAGCAGAGACTGTAGTGGACAATACATTATAAATCTGGACCGTTAGAGTGGCCCTGTCTTTCCTGTTTCTCTTAGCGAGAAATCTAGTGTATGTGTATAGAGACAGACTGGTTGATCAGATCTATTAGTAAGGGCTGCAGTCCCCATGCAAATGAGACTGGATTCTGGGAACAGATAGAGAGAGGGAGAATAAAATACGACTATCCCAGAACTCAAAATCGAGACAAAGATTGGCACAGATTTTACTCGCAATCAAAGTGGGAGCCTAAATGCTCACTTCACAGTGTTCCTTTCTGTTTTTCAAAAAAAAATTGTGGTTTATTTTCCAATTGTGCTGTAAATTACAGTATCAAAGGTGATCATCGTTTTTAAGTTTTAAGTTTTTTATTTGCAGAGGGAGGGCTCGATCAGAATGAAACAGAATGCGTATGCCAAAAAAAAGATAAACTTGTCCCTGTTTATATTCCATTGTGGCTGTAGATGGTGACGGAGCCTCAGTCAAAGTCTGTCGGACAAGTGTTGTAGATAAGAGTATGGATATGTATATATATATATGTATGTATATATAAATTTATTTATTTTCCAATTTTTGGGAAGGATAATCACAGCAGTATTTCTGAGCGCCTTTTGACTGTGTGTGTGGGTGGGGTGTCTCGGAGACAGACTGAGAGACGGCTAGAGCGATGACTGCTCTCCATGGTGCTGATGCTTTCAGACCTCAAGTGTTCCATTTTGCACATTTTCATCTGCAGGGTCTAATTCTACCATTATCTGAATGTACATTTTTATTTTGTTTCCTCTCGGCAAAGAACAAAAATAAAATCAACAAAGAGGCGGGGGTTTGTTGTTAAAAAAAAACGTGCCAATTGTTGGGATATGATAAATAATGTTTCGTTTTGTATTGTATACTAAATTTGCTGGAGCATCAACAAATATATTGCAAATATGGTCGGATTTTGTGCTTATTGTCCTCAGTTATTTCAAAAGCCTCAAGACAAAAGCTGACTTTTCGGTGCTGGTGTGCTATTGGTTTGTGGTCTGGGACTGTCTATCATTTGCTTTTGTCAGTCTGTATGGGATTATATGTGAAGATGTGAATGAATGGTTGCTTATGTTTACTGTAAGTACAAGCTCTGTGCAATTGATGTGTGTGTGAGTTTATGTGAAGTAAATTGCATTCCATTACTGGGAGACTGTATTGCCTTAGTGGTGGGAGCTGTCTGCAGGGATGGAATGGATTGCAGCCTTGGCTTCCCACTCTCATTTACCCCGCTTGTCCTTGTATACTGATTAATGAGAGATGGCTTAGCAGTAATCCCAGTCCTGTGTCCTGGAATGAGATTGAAGCTGCATGCTGTGCAGTGCACATGGGATGACGTCTGTATTCCTGCACAATCCTGCTTTTCGGGAAAGGATGCAGTTCTCATTGACAGTTTTATCTTCATGGTCAATTTGCCTCAACAGTGTTATGTTGCAATGACAATCTAAGCGGTGGCTATGGGATGTAAAAAATATACAAATTAAATTGAGGTGCCTTGAATCTTTGTAATTCTCCTCAGTAAACCTGGCAGAATGCTCTGACAGGACCAACAGCTCAAAATGTGCATAAGCTATTACTGGAGAGGCAGTAACTAAGTGATAATATCACTGGTCTGGTAATTGAGAACTCCACTGTACCTGAGTTTGAATCCCACCATAACTGATGTGAAGTTTTAATTCCTTAAATTCTGGAGTAAAAAGCAGGTCCAATAAGTTTCAACTGTCATTAAACCCAGTTCACACTAGTGCCCTTTAGGGAAAATCTGGACTAGATATGACTCCAATAATGTGGTTGACTTAGGGATGGGTAATAAATGCAGACCTGGCCAGTGATGCCCACATCCCATGAATGAATTTTAAAAAATGCTGACCCAGTCAGCACTGCTGACATCAAATGAATAAAAACAAATCTTGTACGCATGTTGCATATCATTTCATGCAACATATAGAAAACAAATCTGAAGCAATTCTAAAGAAGTCATATCAGACTCAAAACATTACCTTTGTCTGTCTGTGCAGATGCTGCCAGACCTGCTGAGTTTTTCCAGCATTCTCTGTGTTTGTTTCAGATTTCCAGCCTCCACAATTATTTTGCATTTATATGCACAATAAATGGGAGGGCAGTGAGCGGGATATAGGGATTGGCACACCTTGAAGTGTAGGTCCAAAATCCCTGAGGTGGCAGGACAGGTAACTAAGTGGTAAAGAAAGTAAGTTACATGCTTTCCTTCATTGGCCAAGGTATTGAATATAAGAAAAGGGATGTAATACTTGAACTATATAAGACATTTGTTAGGCCACAGCTGAAATTGTGTACTGTTCTAGAATCATTGAATCCCCACAGTGTGGAAACAGGCCCTTTGGCCCAACAAGTCCACACCAAACCTCAGAGCATCCCACCCAGACCCATCCCCCTATAAACCCACCTAATCTACACATCCCTGTACACTATGGGCAATTTAACATGGCCAATTCAACTAGCCTGGGCATCTTTGGACCTGCAGGAGGAAACTCTTGCAGACACAAGGAGAATGTGCAAGCTCCACAGAGATAGTCACCAGAGGGTGGAATTGAACCCAGGTCCGTGGTGCTGTGAGGCAGCAGTACTAACCACTGTGCCACAATGCCACCCCTGGTCACTACATTACAGGATAGATATAATTGCAATAGAGGGAGTACACAAGAGATTTATAAAAATGTTTCCAGGGTTTGAGAAGGAAAGATTGGAAGGCTAGTGTTGTTTTCTTTTGTAGAACAGTGGAGGCTGAGCATTGACTTAATTTTTTTTTATTGCTAGTCATTTATGGGATGAGGGTATTGCTGGCTTGGCCAGTATTTATTGCCCATCTCCAATTGCCCAGAGGGCAGTTAAAAGTCAATCACTGGGTCTGGAGTCACATGTAAGTTAGACCAGATAAGGTTGGCAGCTTTCTTCCCTAAAAGACATTAGTGATACCAGGCAGTTTTTTTTCTTTTCTTTTCTTTTCCTGAAAATGAATTCGAAGCCATCATGGGCTTTTCATTCCAGCTTTTTATTGAATTCAAATCCCACCATCTGCCTTGACAGGTTCAAGCCCAGATACCCAGAGCATTTGATGGGTCTCTGGATTAACAATCCAATGATGATGCCACTAGGCCAAGGTCTCCCCTAAAATTGTGATGTATAAACCAATGTGGGGCTTGGATAGAGTGGACAGGGAAGACCTGTTCTCATAATGGACAGGTCAATTGCCAAGGAATACAGATTGAAGGTGATTGGTAGAAAGATTCATGGGGGCAAAAACCTTTTCACTGAGAAGGTGGTGGGTGTCTTTAATTATCTGCCCAGTTTGGTAGTTGAGGCAGAAACCTGCAACTCAGTTAAAATGAAAAACCAAAAGAACTGTGGATACTGTAAATCAGGAACAAAAACAGAAGTTGCTGGTAAAGCTCAGTAGATCTGGCAGCATCTGTGAAGAGAAAATCAGAGTTAACGTTTCAGGTCTGGTGACCCTTCCTCAGAACTGTTATGTTAACTCAGTTAAAAGAAACCTGGATCTACACCTGAAGTAGTATAACCTGCAAGGTCCCCTGGTGGGAATGGAATGGGTGGCTAGTTTATTCAATTTCTGCAGTTATAATGGACTAGAATGGCCACTTTCTGTCTTGTACCTTTTCCATGGTTCTATATTCTACTAGCAGTCTTACATAGCAGTATTGAGAATCCTATGGCACCGAAAGAAACTATTTGACTTAACCAGTCCATGCACACCTCATCTTTCCTCATCTCAATCTATCTCTATTCCTTTCTCTGTCAGATTCCTGTCCATCTCCCTCTTAACTGCATCTATACTTTTTGGTTCAACCACAGTCTATTTGTACATCTATCTCTCTGTCAATCAGAGCTAGTTTACGGGGGAGGATCTTCAGTTATGTAGATTTGGGATATAGGGTCTTGAATTCCTTGAAGAACAGAAGTCTGAGAGGTATTCAATATCACGAGTGTGAAAAGAAAGGACAGAGAGAAACTGTTCCCATTGGTGAGAAGTGACAGAAACTCAAGGACACAGATTTGAGGTGCTTGACAAAAAATGTAATGGAAAGAGGAGGAGAATCTATTCAATGCAACGATAATTTAGAATATGTAATGCACTGTCTGAGGGTACGTTGAAAGCAGGTTCAATCAAGACAGTCAAAAGAGAATCCAATCATTATCTGAAAAGAAAATTAAGGTTGCAAGGGTGTGAGGGATGGATAATTGGCAAATTGGGCTTGCAGCAAAAAAAGGAACTGATTAGTCTTCTGTGCAATCACCACACTAGGCATAATGCAGCACATGCTGTTTAGAAACAGAAATTGCGGGAGAAACACAGCAGTATCTGTGGAGAGAGAAAAACAAGAGTGAACGTTTGGAATCCAACTACATCTTTGGAACTCTGGCAGCTTGTTGCTGCTGTGGGAATTACTAGATGCAGAATTAGGTTTTCATGCAAGCACGTAACTGAATGCTGCAGCAGACTGCAGCCTGTTGATGATTACACTGAGCACCTTAGGATCTAGAAAGGGCGTATTAGCTACAGCCTCTCTTTATGTCTGCTGCATAGCCAACTGGAAATTACACGGAAGTTATTGGAATGTAGGTAAGCGCTCTCCAAGGTCCTGACCGATCAACCTCCGAACACCACAAATAGATTGATTCTGTTTCACTGTGCCGAGCCGTAAACTGTATTTTCAACATCCGCATTTAGTTTCTCGTTTTCTCCCCCAGGCTTGCTAAGCCTATTCAATGAACAATTCAGCAAAATAGGAATTCAGGAAAATACTTGAGTTTTAATTGATTTGAGTGATACTAGTTGCTACAATGGTATTGACACTAAATGCTCTTTTTAAAAAAAATTCGTTCATGAGATGTGGGTGGTTGATAATTAGATCAATATTTATTGCCCATCCCTACTTGACCTTGAGAAGATGGCGGTGAGCTGTCTTCTTTAACTGCTGCAGTTCTGTTAGGAAAGAAGATTCACAATTTTGACCCAGGGACAGTGAAGGAAGGGTGATATATTCCAAAGTTTCTGGTCAATGATAACACTTAGGAAGGTCATAGTGGAGGGATTCTGAAATGTTAATGCCATTGACTGT